GTATGTATGTATGTATGTATGTATGTATGTATGTATGTATGTATGTATGTATGTATGTATGTATGTATGTATGTATGTATGTATGTATGTATGTATGTATGTATGTATGTATGTATGTATGTATGTATGTATGTATGTATGTATGTATGTATGTATGTATGTATGTATGTATGTATGTATGTATGTATGTATGTATGTATGTATGTATGTATGTATGTATGTATGTATGTATGTATGTATGTATGTATGTATGTATGTATGTATGTATGTATGTATGTATGTATGTATGTATGTATGTATGTATGTATGTATGTATGTATGTATGTATGTATGTATGTATGTATGTATGTATGTATGTATGTATGTATGTATGTATGTATGTATGTATGTATGTATGTATGTATGTATGTATGTATGTATGTATGTATGTATGTATATGTATGTATATGTATGTGTGTGTGTGTTAGTTTTATAATTTTGAATCAATCACTATTTTATTGATCGAATTTACCAAACAATTTTTTTTCATCACGCTTATATAGCTTTTCCGTCTAGGAATAAATTTTCATTTTTTCATCAAGATGTATTCATTAGAAGTTACAAGATAAAGGTTTCATCGTCCAATTTAAATACGATCTATAAGAAATATTACTGATACCAATCTACCTATTTAACCTTTTTTTAACATACACGCTCCTTTACCGACAACAATTTTTACGTTGTAATTTCAACATAAACAAACACACCAACGACAATTACATTACAATGACGTCATCAACAACAACAAAACGACAACAGCAACAGACATCTACAAACACATCAATACAAATAGACAGCAAAGGAAAACCCAAATAACATTAAAGTTCACAACATCATCAGCAATAACATCATCACTATTATCTCCGCCAACAACAACAAACTCATTAACAACATCAAGAACAACAACATTAACAACAAAAAACATTAACAAATTGTCAACGCGCTGACACCAACCACAATAGTGTACTTTATAAAAAAATCTTCACGACTAAACTGCTTAAGAAGTAACACACAGTTCCTAATATATATATACGTTCATTTTTTCACTTTTAAATTACAAATTAAAATAAAAACAAACAAAAAAAAACAAAAAAGATAAAGACAAAAAACAAAGATAAAAAATTATTAAATTTTGTAGATAAAATTTTTGCTCTTTCTTCGGAGTTCATTTTAAATTTGAACGCTCTTTTTACCTTTTTCCGATACAATGTGATAACTTAGTCAATTTTATTGCATTTCAAATTTATATATACATATACATGTGCGTGTGTGTATATTAGTGTGAGTATGTGTGTGTGTGTTTGTCTGTGTGTGTGTGTGTCTGTCTGTGCGTGTGTGTGAATATAAATATAATATGTACATGTTAGATTTACATAAAGTTTAAAAAGTTCGGTAACATATCAAGTAAAATTGCGAAGTAGAAATTATGTGCGTGTGTTTGTCTGTGTGTGTGTGTGTGTGTGTGTGTGTGTGTGTGTGTGTGTGCATGTGTGCCTGTGTGCTTGCGTTGGTTGTTCAATACGTTATCGAGTCAGCGCATGTCAAATTATATTATCCGAAATGACATTAACATTGAAATTTACTGTTTTAAATAAACAGTAATAAATATGAATCACATTAAAACATTAATAGAAAAGACTATAACAACAATTCTTACAACAACAACATTAACAACAACAACGACAACAACACAATAACAACGTAACGTAAGCCGTTTCATTTATATAGAGCAAAATTTAAAGACTAGACGAGGAAATTTGCGTCCTAACCATCTTATTTTCAATCTTTTTTTTCCATCATGTTTTATAACTAGAGGCTTTCTAATGCTTTCCAGCCATCCTATTATTTTTTAAAACTTAATTTTACGCTTAGTTCAAATATTATCATTATTATTATTTTATATTATGTTATATTTTATTATAAAGAATAATTTGGAAAATTATTTTAGTATTATTATTTTAGAATCAGTCTATTATTTCTTGAGAAACCTCCTCATACGTGAATACGTTATCATTCATATTCAAAATTGCTGAAGATTACAATTGTTCATTAGAATATTAATACAATAATTATTAATGCAATTAAAAAATAATTATATTATTATTAACTTAAATAATTAAATGTTGTTATAATTGTTATCTTAAATTTTAATAGAATCAGCTTTGTTTAAGCTTAAGTTAATATATATATATATTATATATACACTTTATTTCTTTCACTTTTTTTAGATGTATATTTCTAGTATTTATTCTTTCAACTCTAATATGTATTGATTTGAGTCTGATTAATTTTAGACATAATTATAAATAAAATAATAATAGCGGTCATTTGTACTCATTTGCGACTTACATAATAACGATAATAATTTTAATATAAAGTAATAATAATGGTATTTATATTATTACAATCGTATAGACATCACGTTATAGAATTGTTGAGAAATTTTTTTCAAAAGTTCGACATTTTAAATTTAATAAGATTCCGTCGGTTTTTTAAAATTAATTAAATGATTAATTAATTGATTATTAACTATTTAATTGATTGATTAATTAATTAATTAATGTTTAATCATTTTTGCTATGTGCATTTTTGACGTTTTTTTATTCAAAATAAAATTCTCCAAGCCTGACATTTTTATTTCATTTAATATTCTCTCATCTCTAGAACACGCTCACACAGACACACACACACACATACACACACACACACACACACACACACACACACACACACACACACACACACAGATATAAACACACACTCACGCAAATAAAATATATCTAATGATCCACAAAACACAACAAAACACATACACATAAATACACACACACATATATACACACAAACACACACACACACACACACAAGCACACAAACACAACAAATAATCCTCTCAACAACGCAAATATATTTCATGATATAGCGCTTCACTCTCAATATATGAGATATAAAATAAAAATAACTAGAACTCGTGCTGGCATTCAAAGACTGTCATAAAGTACTAAAACCTAAACAAAGGATTTCTTACCAAGCAATAATAGCACCAGCAACTTTCTTATTGAGCAATCTTCTATACAACACTACATATGGAAAAACTACTATTACTACTATTACTTCTAATACAACAACTTTTACTACTACTACCACTACTCCTGCTACTACTACTACTACTACTACTACTACTACTACTACTACCACCACCCCTGCTGTTGCTACAGCTGCTGCTGCATTTAATTTTTTTAAATAACTTAGAAAATTGAGATGGATAGATGGATAAATAAACAACAAAAACAAAATGTAAATACATACAATACAATACCGAATGTAGGAAGATACAATAAAGAAACAATACAAGTACATGCAATACGAAAATACCCAATACAAATTACCCTGATTCAATTGGTATTACACAGAACTTGTGACGAGAATATTTAGCAAACCATTCTCCAGAGTGTATAACTCATACAATGTGAAGAGCTCACACAACAATATAGGTACACAATACAAAAAATACAAAAACACACAATACAAACAAACACTATAGATACACACTTTATTAATACACACAATACAACGCAACTGTACAACATCTCATACGATACAATACAATACAATAGAATACAAAACAATACAAAACAATACAATACAATACAATACAATACAAATGTCACGCCGTTTGACAAAAATTCTTTCAATGTTACTTATCTTAAAAATTTGTCGGACTGAAATTGATATACAGTAACGTGTATTGAATTATACAATAAACACATACATTTATGTACCTGTGTGTGTTGTTTGTGTGTGTATGTGTGCGTGTATGTGTGTGTGTGTGTGTTTATGTATTGTTCGCTCATACATACATACATGCACACTTTTACACATGCCATATTTATATAACATTTTAATTAAAAAATGAGAAAAATGTTTACAATATTTATCTACGAAGTATAATCTCTGTGAGATTACTAGTGAGTGTTTGCATATGCGTGCGTGTTTGGTGTTCGCGAATGTCTTGCATAGTTGAAAAGTTTTCAATGGCATTCGATCACATTCATTATTGGTAAGCAGCTGAACGCTTCGTTCGTTAAACTTTTGTAAATTAGGAAGTTTGTTTTGGTTTAGCTCCGCTCAAATAGGTTTAAAATAGAATAAAAAAGTTGATTGTAAACATTAACAAAATAGTATTTACATGTTATATGAATGAGTTGGTGAGTCTATGTGAGAGTAAAATGTAAGAAATTGATGGCTCTTGATGAACTGCTGACATTTAAATGTAATTGAATAATGATAACATTTCATTGATAAGGAAAAACTTCTAAATCGTGATAAGGACGACAACATCTGTTGTACGTGAATCGTTTGAAAATAATCAATTAAATAAATAAATGAAATGAAATGATTATGGAGAGAATTCAGCTGATCGCCATAGTTTTTGTCCTCCTCATTGGTTGGTTCTTATTTATTTTTAATTTTAATAAATAATAAATAACATTATTGATAAATATTTAAATACACTTTGATGGAATTTTATTAAAAGTTCACTAAACATTCTCTTCGATACATTTTAATAAACTACAACCAAAACTGTCCAAAGACACAGTGACCCAGCAACAGCAGCAGCAGCAGCAACTCTTCCAAATCGGGCCAGGTCCATTCGCGTTTAACAACATCCGTCAAAAAAAGTCCCAGTTGATTTTCATATCGCGAGATGTCGCAACAAGCAGCGGTATCTTGGTCGGCTTCACCACTTACGTCCAACTGGCCAACAAAACTTTTGATTTTCAAATATGGAGGCCAGTTTCAACCGGAACTTCTGATTACAAGTTGATCTTCAGTGTCAGCTACCTGGAAGGCAGTGCTAATTTTGCCCCTGGATTCAGAGAAGTTAGTCATTAAATCACTTAAAATTTCAAAATTATTTTTGGAATCACGGTTACATAATTTCCCATTAAACGAACTCAAGTTTGTTTTTTTCAGTAGTTAAGTTTATTGCTGGAGTTCAAAAAAGATTTTTGAAAATTACATGAACTTAATCCAATGCAGATATTGCTGTCAACGTACCAAGCTAGCAGCAGCAGTAGCAGCAACAAATGCATCAACATTCAGCCTAAAGACAGACTCGGAGTTTACTTCAAAGACGACGTGTGGCCCCTACCTTACATGTTCATTTCAGATGACAACCTCCTCAGTGGCGGGCAGGATCAGAAAAGTTTCATGTTGGATATCTCACAGACAGGAAGTATATCCGTCGGCCAGGTGGCCCGTCTCGATGAATTGGTTTTTCCTTACAAGTTTCCCATGGCCGCATGGGTTTTTCCAAGTCAGTAAATGAGAATATTTTTGAAAAATGTTTTTCAAAATTATTTGTATTAAATTGAAAATGTTTCAAAAACACTTTCTGTTGAAAATGATGTTGTTGTGGTAGTATTAATTTTTGCGAAATATTTTTTGTTGTTTCAACGTAAAATAAATAAACTGTAAGATGGTGCGGTCTCATTCTTAGATGCTGCAGCTTCAACTGGCGGTGACAACAGCAACGACCTAGAAATGGTTGCGTGTCCTCCAGGGTTGACCCTGCCGTCCATGGTACCCCCTACAACAACAACCCCCTTGCCCACTCCTCCAAGAACTGGACCAAAGGGTCCCGATGGAGATACAGGAGCCCCTGTTAGTTTTATATAGTAGATATTTTCTTTAAGCAGTGGCGGATCTATAGGAGCCGAAAGCACCCTCCGTTGCAAGCAGCGTTGTTATCAAAAGTCTAAAAACCACTTTTAGACAGGAAAACACCAGTTTTAAGTATACAATGCCCAAAAATTGGCGTGATAAGCAAATAAAAAACATAAAAAGTCGCCAGCCTAATTTTGGCTACACTAGCGAACATTTTGTAAATTTCTTGGCCACTTTGCCCCACTCCCTTAAACGTTGTACAGATCAGCCACTGGGTGTAAGTTGTGATATTTTATGGCGTTGAAAATTTTGTTGGTAATGTAACAATTGTTAATGTTAGCTGGCAAGCAAATTATGTTTCTACTTGTTTGAGCCAGTTTGGAATTGAAGTATGGATACAGTGCACGTTTGAATGGAGATGTTGAGCTTTCGAAGTTGATGATGGTTAATTAAAGTTTTGTGGTGTACATTCACTGCTGAAACGCTGTCGTTCACCACACTGATCATTATGTCAATTTGCTTGCATTTATAAATTGATCATCTGGCCTATTATGCTAGGTTAAGTTGCAGTATTAATTACTATTGAGTTGTTGCAACTTCACTTACTATTAATTAAATTTCTTAGCTGCAAATAGCTTCAAATTGTAATTCTAAACAATATGATAGGGACGTTGCGACTGTTTCACGACAGGTACCGCCTCTAATTGAGTTGAGTCAATGTTATGATACATTTCAAATTCTGAAGTGCACTTTAGTTTTCCGTGAAAGAGTTGAAGCATTATCACGATATGTTACATTACATTAAGAAATTAATTCCTAAATAAATATAACAACAGGGGCCTGTGGGAGACACCGGCTACCCCGGCGATACGGGCTTCCAAGGCTTCACAGGTTCGACGGGTGCCACAGGCCTCCAGGGTTCGACAGGAGGAACAGGAGATGTTGGAGCGACGGGATTAGTCGGATTCAATGGACTGAATGGTCAAGATGGAAACAGTGGCAACCCTGGAGTTGAAGGGGTCGTAGGAGCAACGGGGGTTAAAGGTCAACCCGGATTGAGAGGACCGAACGGTGTGGATGCATTTGTGTATTATAATATTACGGATGATGAGGAAGACGACGGAAGCAGTAGCAGCGGACGTGGTGGTAGTGGTCAGTTGAACCAGCCGCTACTGCAACAACAGCCAAATTTAGAGGCGAGAACTTGGTGGCAGAAGGAAAGTTTTGTGAAGGGCATGTTTGCTTGGGCAGCCATCTTATCATTCATTATTATTGTCGAGTTCATCTGGTCTCTTGCTCTGCTATGTGTCATTGCGAAGAAGAAAAATTAAAATCTCCGGATTTTTATAGATAAACTAAAATTTAAAAAAATGAATTCTGTAAATATCAATGTTCAAAAAATAATTTTGAAAATATTTACCTACTTGTTTGTTCTAGATGACTCTAGCAAAGATATTCGTGTTAACAATTTTAAATGTTTCGTGTTGTTGTTTGATATTTTTGTAATTAAAAGTCGATTATTTGGTAGATTTAATAATTTTAAACGATTTAAAATGTTAAAGGAAATAAGTAATCAAGTCCCGATTAATTTTGTTATCGTTTTACAATTTGCACATCATAATGTTATTTTGTATTATACTTGGAGTTTCTAGTTTACTATATTACGCGTCACTTTCTCATTCTCTCTCTCCGTTTCTCTCTTCTTCATTTTCCCACTTTCTTTTTCTCCAACACACACACACACACACACACATACACACACACACACACATATTTTAAATGTGGTTTGTAATGAGCAACAGTAAGCATTCGTTTGGTTACATGTATTACTGTAAGTAGTAGAGTTATGGTTATTATTACAATTACTGTTAACATTATTACCGTTACTACTATAACATCATTCTATCATACAGTAACAAATTTTTTTTCAGATTTCACAACAAAAATGATTCGTTCGTTTTTACGTGTAAAAATTGTTTTGTCTTTTAAATCTCCGCTATTTGTGTTTGTTTGTGTGCGTGTGTGTGTGTGCGTGTGTGAGCGTGTGTGTGCGTGCGTGCGTGTTACATTGGAGGAGAGGAACAAAAACAAACTTGTCTAATAAATTTATTGAAATCAAAGATTATCTACCTTGTTTTAGCATAATAATTAAATTTTTTTTTACATAACGGTAAACATTTTTCAAACAATTGTCGTAATTAATAAGCTTCAATTTAACCAGCAACAAATACATTACGTCATCGTCATCTTCGTCATTATTTTCATCACTTATCGTCATTCGTATCATCGGCGCAATCATCATCATCTTCAAAATCAATCTTCATCAGCAGCATATTTCCCGTAAATTCCATCTGCCTGGTTTCTAATCTGGGCTGCATCCATCCCACCAGCACCGAGGTAAGAAGCAGCAGAAACCGGAAACGGAAATGACGAAACATAATCTTGATTCGCGTCAGCTGATTGGCTGCCTTGCAGTGGTTCGCTCCGCCCAAACCTCATATAACGGCCGCCCCTTTTGAGCACGTGATGGTTCCCGCCAAAACGTGATGGTATGGGTCTGTGGACTGATTCTGTGTACGTGTGCGTATGTATGTAAATGTGTGTGTGTGTGTGTGTGGTGTGTGTATGTGTGTATGATAATGGTGTGGAGGGCGAGGAGGACGATGGCTGTAATGGTTTTATGATTGGTTCTATTTCTGCTTTGACGAGTTTCTGGTTTTGATTTCATTAGCGTGTGACGCTGACGAGACTGATGTGGATTGTTCGGGTTTCATGCGAACAATCGCATGAAACCCAATGATGACGACGACGATAATTATGATGGTAATAACAACGAATAATATTTTTATAATAACTGTAATGATTATTATAACAGAGGTTATTTCAACGATGCTAATGATGACGATGGCGTCACTTATGTATAATATATGTAGGGTGAATAACAAATGAAATGTAGAAACAATATCATAATAATAATGATGACGACAACGAAGATGATAACAACAACAACGACAACCCCAACAACAACAACCACAACAACAACAACAGCAACCACAACAACAACAGTAACAATAATACAATTGACGTAAGCAACAGATAGTAACAAAACGTAGATGGTTTTTTGAATACGAGCTGCTAGGTAATTGAGTTATGACGTCATCATTATGACATTCGTCGACGATGACAATGCTGAAAATGATCTAGTCGTAATGATGGTGACGACGATGATGACGTAGATGATTATGATAATTTGACTAATGCGGTTAAATTAAATTATGACGATCGTGATTGGTCGGCGCGAGTAAATGAAAGATTATCATTGGCTGTTGAATTGGCGGGATGGCCACTAAACAACCAATGCTAATAAGGTACGTTATTAATGTTTTTATTATTATTATTAATTTTATTATTCTTATTATTATTAATTATAGGTGATATAATAATGATGATGATACATCAACGATATGATGATGATAAAATGATAATATATTGAAGATAGAATGAAGATGTAATGATGATGCTGATGATATAAGGATACAATAACAATATAACCAAACGAAACTAAATGGAATTTTATTCCACAACAAAAATTTAATAGAGAATAAATAATACAGAGCTGATTCAAGCAAGCAATGATATAATGATGATATGATGATAATAAAAGGGTGATATAGTGGTGGTATTATGTGATATTATAATGATATAATGATGATATACTGATATAATAATAATATCATGAGGGTATGATGATAGAAATGAATTTATGGATAAAATAGAATGATTAAAAATTTTTAATTTTAACAAAAAAATTATTACATAACACACAAGTTTACTAACTCTAGTGTTAATAGGTTAATACTAACATAATAAAATAATGTTTTATTCTTCAGTATTTTATTTATTTATTTATTCAAAATGTCGAAAACCGCACATGTTTGTCTTTAAGGTTTTGTCGTTAGTTTTATAAAAAATATTAACCATTACTAAAATGAATAATTAAATGACCCGAAATGACCTCAAATGACCTCGAGTGATCTTGAGTACCCCCAAATGACCTCACGTAAGACCTCTCGTTCTCTTTGAAATCATTCAAATGATCAACTCTTCCATGTCAAGTAATTAATTCATCAAATGACGTAAAGCATTTTTTCGAAACTCAAACGCCATCAGTTAATTAGCATAATATCTGGCCTAATTACATAACCTCACAATGATTTTTCAGTAGCTTAATTAACATAATCAGTGACCCAAATACATAATTGTGAGACCTAATTTATTTATTTAGAAAAGTAAATTGTGTTAAATATGAATCTTGTGTATCATCGACTTTAAATTCGATTGAAAATAGTTTCAACAACCTAATTTTTATAACTACAATAAAAATAGTTGTTATTTTAATATTATTATTACTAATAATTGTAATAATAAATAATAAACTTACCTATTTCATGAGTGGCGACCACAAGAACCACAACGAAAAGCAAGAGGAGTAACTTTGATGTCGACAAGCAAAGCTCCATTCTTTAGATTTTGTTTGTATGTGTTGTTCTAGTTATGAAAGTATTAGAGAGTGTGTGTGTTGATTTGTAAAATATAGTGATGTTTTTGCTGTTGTTGTTAGAAGTTGTGTGTGTGTGTGGGTTGTGTTTTTTGCTGCGTTCGCTTATGTGTATCTGGCTGATTAATCTAGAGAGGAGTTTCTGGGAGTTTTAAACGAAGAAAAATTTTTTGAAAAATAAAAATTAGAATTTGAATTAATGATTTGCAAAATGGAATTCCATTAGTTATCGTCACCAACCGTTCGAATTGTAGCAATTAATAATTAGCCCTAGCAATTAATTAATCATCTTATTGAAATGTATTGAGTAAAATGCTAGTAAAAAATTAACCTAATGATAAACGACTATGATACAGAAAAACTCACGTGTAATTTTTGATAGATAGGTGACGTAGTTGGAGGTAATTGAGTGAATGATCGAACAAATAAACGAATAAATGATCAAATGAGTAAATGAGCGAACGAATGAACGGTTTGATTCTGCTAATAATCTGTTGCAAGCTCCGATAGTTTACCCCTTATATAGCTGTTAAACCTACCACGCATTGTCAAATGTGTATTAGCACGTGTGTGTGTGTGTTTGTGCTTGTATGTGTGCATAAATGTGTGTGTGTGTTCAAACGTTTGAATGTGTGTGGGCGTGTATGTGTGTGCGTTTGCGTGCGTGCGTGCGTGTGTGTAAGAGTTCATAAGTGTATGTGTGTGCGGGCGCAAAGGAATGTGTATTGTGTATGTGTATGTGTGACACTTGATGTTCACTTGTGTTTGTACGTGAGTACTTGACTTAACTTACAAACAAGCAAACAAGAGAGAGAGAGAGAGAGAGAGAGAGTGAAAGAGAGAGAGAGAGAGAGAGAGAGAGAGAGAGAGAGACGAAGACATACACAGGTGAGATGAGTTTTTTTCTTATTGATAAGAATGATCATTTACGTTACTTCATACTTCCTTCCTGAACGAACGCGCTCAAACACACACGCACACACACACAAACACACACAGACACACACACATACAGAGGCACATACACAGACGTATAATCACACACACAAACGCAAACACACACTTACATAAGCGCGCACATACATTGATTTATTTCATGTATATTTGAATTACGCTTCTGAAGTGAATATCTATTTAAATCCTAAAGCTTTTTATTATTATTCTTATCATTCTGTTATTGTTATTATTATTTAAAAAAAATTCAATAACTAGATTGGGACAGGGCAAACATTAATTGTTCTTATGATGTTGAATTCAAATTTAGAAATACTTTGTATTCAACCGCAACTGATGTTTGTTCACAGCGTTACATCTCAACGCTATGTTGTTGGTCTTGGTATTGTTTGTATTGTTTTGTATTTTTGTATGTCTATTTTCTATGTTTGTAGTTTAGTATGTGTGTGTTTGTTATTTTTGTATGTTTGTTTGTGTGTCGTTGGTTTGTACATACGTTCGTTGTTGCCTTGTATGCTCGTGTGTGTGTTTGCACGTTTGTATAAGCGGTGTGCGTGTTAGCTCATTTGTGTGGGTGTGTTTGCATGTAAATGTGTGTGCGTATATATATATATATATATATGTGTGTGTGTGTGTGTGTGTGTATGTGTGTTTGTATGTTTGTTGATTTTACTGTCAAAGGAAGTGAACAGTGCGGATAAGTTATTGTATGGTATGTAACTGGAGGTAGATAATTGAGGAAAGCGGACCCGTTCTCAAGTGCTGCTTTCTGATAGGCAGAATTTACGTCCTTATGAATTTACGTTCTTGCCCTTAATTATGTTCGTGGGGCTGTGTTTTGTCTCTCTCTCTCTCTCTCTCTCTCTCTTTATTTCTTTTTCTCTCTCTATTTCTGTTTTTTTCTCTCTGTTTCTTTGTCTATCTCTCTCTGTGAACGCATGTGCGTGCGTATACGTGCATGTGTGTTGTTTATGTCTTTGTATATGATGTGTATGTATGTGTGTGTGTGTGTGTGTGTGTATGTGTGTGTGTGTGTGTGTTCATATCAGCGGTTTTATCTGGACGTATGTATTTTTGGTATGGTAGTTAACTGGATTATATTGCATGCATGGTTTTATAAGTTTGCACACAGTGTGTGTGTGTGTGGTGTGTGTGTGGTGTGTGTGTGGTGTGTGTGGTTTGTGTGTGTAACTATGTACGGATGTGTGTAAATCCGTTTTCAGTTGAATGAATTATTTTTCCATTTTTTTATTTTTCCAACGTTTGACGTACATTTTCATTCAATCTAATTAACAAAGAACTAATTGGTTGCCTAATTGAATGGCGGGTTAAGCGTTTGTGTCATGGCGATTTTAATTTCTTTTATGTTTTCAGTTGTTTATCTTTGCTTTCATTTTTTTATCTATGTTTTTAGTTTTTTATCTATGTTTCCATTATTTCTTCTGTGTTTTCAGTTTTGTATCTATGTTTTCAGTTTTTATCTGTTCCCAGTATTCCTCTAACTGTCTATTCTTGCACTTATTTCTTCAGCACCCACAGATTGCTTATTCACCAACCACTAATGACGTCATTATTCTCATCAATAAATTTTTTAGCGCAATTTTACGAGCGAATTCTCTCATTTGACAAACAGGCGTTAATTAAATCATCCGTCATAATGACACGAATGATATATACACGTACAACACGTACACACATACACACACAGACACACTTACACATAGACCGACACATACATACAAAAACATATAAGTATGCATACAGAACCGGACAAACAAAAATTCTGGTACATACACATACAAACAAGCACACGAATACATAAACACATACACGCACAAAATCACAATACATACACACACAAACACACAGATACATACAAAACACGCAAATACCATACAATAACATACAAAACATACCATACAAATGAAAAAAAAATACATGACAGAATAGCAGACGTTCAGTAAGTAATCTAGCTCGTGTCAAGTGTAAACACGTGACGATTTTTAATGACTCACAACAGTGTAGTTAAAGTTAAAGACCTCCTTCATATTTGACGCTTCAATTATTATTTTGTATGAAATTTTCAATTTTTTTTATTTTAAATTCTAAAATTTTTGAGAAATGTATTAAACTGAATAATTTATATGCGCTTTTCAGTGCATTTATATTTGCGCCTGACTGACCGGCTGCCTAAATGACTGGTTTAGATATCACGTAAGCTAGCTTTCAATTACAAAAGTCCTAAAATTGAAGATTTCAAAGTTTAAAAGAGAGATGTATGATCGTTTTTTTTTTTAAAAAAAAATGTTTGTAAGAAAACAAGAAAATTTTTCAATTTATAATTTTTCGTAAAATGATCCTGGTGTTTGTAATCATTGTCATCATTGCAGTTGTGTGTGTGTGTGTGTGTGTGTGTGTGTATGTGTGTGTGTGTAGGTAAGTGTGTGTCAGTGTGCGTGTGTTCGTGTGAGATGAGTGTGTGTTGATATGTTTGTGCCATATCAATGTCGTATTTATCATAGAGACCAAATTTGTCATCATCTTATCTATTCAATTAATCATAACCATCATTCTCATCCCCGTCTTCATCATCAACATCATTAGTTGATAATCATCTAATCATCATCATTATCGTTATTATCATCGTTATCATCATCATCATTCTCATTATTTTAATATTATCATCACCATCATCATTATTAATATCATATCATTAGCATTAGTTTTTTTAGTTACTTTCGTCTTCTAAAAAAATCACGAAAAATTTTCTCGCTATAACTGTTGATAATTTTTTATCATCGTTAATTGATAGGAATTGAAATATACCATTGTGTCATCAGTGGCTATCAACAACAACAGCAACAACATCATTACTACCACTTTTTCATCTTTTGCTTCATCGTTATCATAACCTTTAATGATCATCATCATCATCATCCCCATCATCTTCATCATCATCACCATCATCATCATCACCGGAAACTTTAATATTTTAAAAGTTTAAAAAATTTTTTTTGGTTTGTTTGCAATAGGACTACGAGTAGAGAACAAACGAACGAACAAATAAAGGAAAAACAGACGGAAGAACAAAGGAACGTATCGTTAAAAGAAGAAAAAAGATTAAAATGAAAATAGAGAGATACAATTGGAAGAGAGGAGAGATAAGAGAAGAAAAAAAGAGAAAGATAGACGAACAAATTGATTGAATGTATTATTCCGTGTGATGTTGTTTCTTGTTGGGGAAAATTTCACCACCCACCCACTCCACACATCCAACTTGAAAAATTGTTGTGAAATGAGAAAGAGGGAAAGGGAGAGAGAGAGAGAGAGAGAGAGGAAAAAAAAAGTGAGTGAGAAAGAGAGATAGAAAGATAAGAGAAAGAAGAAAGAAAATGAGCAAGAGAGGAGAAGAATGAAAAATTGAATTAAATAAATTTTTCGAAATGGAAAAAAAATTATAATTTTTTTGGTTGAAAACTGATATCTAACAAAGAAATGAAGTTAAAAAGTTTTTTGTTTTTTTTTCTTTTCTAATTTTTATTTTGCATTTGTTTTGTTGTTATTTTTAGCATTAATTTTCAGTTATTTCGTTCTAATTTCATTTATTTTCTTTTTGTTTTTAAAATTTTGAATCCGATAAACTCTTCTGAATTATTTCAATTCTTAAGTTTGCTGCTCTTTTCAATATCTTTTTCTATATTCAGGTCTCTCTCTATCTCTGTCTCTCCCTTTTTTTCTTTTTATTCTTTCCTTTCTCTCTCTTTCTCTCTTCCTTCTTCTCTCTCTCTCTCTCTCTCTCTTTCTTTCTTTCTCTCTTCCTTTCTCTCTCTTTCTCTCTTTCTTTCTTTCTTTCTCTCTTCTTTTTTCTCTCTCTCTCTTTCTCTCTCTCTCTATCTCTCTTTCAATAACAGCAGTAACCGCGGCACGACACCACAAGCCACATCACCACAAACTTTATTGCCTCACACTGCTTCTCTATTAAAATACGGACTGACGATAATATCGAGGACGGAGCCACCGCAACAACTGACGCCATGTCGTCAGCTATGACGTCATCAACAATCAAAACAACAACAACAACAATAACTCCACCAATAAATAATACAACAACAACAAACCATTTTTGTGTAATATTTACATTTATCTTTAAAAAAAACAATATCATTACCTCAGCGAATGTTGTTTAAAGTAACCACCATCATTTCTTATCCTTGCCATCGTCGTCATCATCTATTATCATTATCACCACCATCATCATCATCATCATTTCTTATCATCATCATCATTTCTCATCATCGTCACCATCATCTACCAAATTATCGGAAAAGAATATCTCAAATTACAAATAGGACTGATGAACTGAAAATAACATCTCGTCGTCGTCACCAAGAAAATTAAGTTTTTCATTTCAAAATGACCTCCATCTGTCCATCCATCTCACAACCATTAAACAAACGAACGAACGAACGAGCGAACATACAAACCAACTAACAAACAACCCATATTAAACAAACAAACCACTAGTATCAAACAAACGAACGAACGAACAGACTAACAAACAAAAAAACAAACAACGTTTAACATCTGATACATCTTCAACTGAAGCACTTATAAACCCAATCAAGAAAAATTTCCCGAGAAGAAGGTTAGTTAAGTGTTTTCGTTTCAAGTTTCTCAAAACTTGTTCAGTCTTTAGTCTCTTTGGTCAATAATTATTATAACAAATTTTTTATAACAAATTATTATAACAAATAATTTTTAAATATTATAACAATAATTTTAATTGCTATTGTCATAAATTATATAATCTTAATTTACATTATTATTATAGACATAATAATAATTATTAATATAGGCGTAATTTATAAATAAAATAAACTTTTTCCAATCATCTATCATTCGACGCAACCAATTTAGACTAGTATAACATCCAACTAATCATAATCATTCAAACTTTACAGACAAACAAGGCAAACAGCATGCCAAGAAACAAACAAACAAACCAACCAACGAACGAACGAACGAACGAACGAACGAACGAACGAACGAACGAACAAACAAACAAACATATGTGCAAGCTCAATAATAAATCTTGCGTAAACACATCAGCCGATCCAAACATTATAAATATACTAGTTACGGCGACTGACTAATATGTATGTAGACCAAAATATATGAAGACAGACAAACAAACATACATACACACACACACACAAACACTCCACAAATACACTACCACCCACATATATAGATTCATATTATACATGCAAGCACATAAACGTACGTTCACACAACAAACACACACACTCTCACACACACACACAATAATTAAACACTCCTACCAATATATATATATTCACGCTTATACACACCCAGAAACACACCAACGACCATCCTTTTCTAATACTCAATCAAAATCTCATCGAGTCGTATGTTGTTGTTTATGACTCTTCATATGGATTGCACCTAAAATTCGAAAAAAACTGTTTTTTCGATTTTTATATTATCTGTATTTTCTGTATATCTGTATAACTTTTTCTACATTATTATTATTTATAAGGTAGAAAAACTACCGTCTTAAGTGATAATTATATTTATAACATTATTTGTTGGTAATGTCACTGTTCTATATTATTGGCTCCTATGAATATGAAGTTTCTAGGTTATATATCGTTTTTTGATTAGCTACAATTGAACTCTAAAACGTCTGCAAGATTACACCACACGACGCATCTTGTAACATACACACCATACAAAATACATGCACGTGCATGTATGCATGTGCGTTCATGTATGTATGTATATATGTATGTATGTATGTATGTATGTATATATGTATGTATGTATGTATGTATGTATGTATGTATGTATGTATGTATGTATGTATGTATGTATGTATGTATGTATGTATGTATATATGAGTGTGTATGTTTGTGTATGTAGGCGTAATGTGTGTGTGTGTGTGTGAATGTATCTGCTTGTCTTTACGCATATACATATATCCGAAAGAAGAAGATAGCAAACACAAATTGTAGTCTATTTTTAAATTTTTTTCCATCCAATTATGACACCAAAACTATAAATAAATATATCTCCTATCTGATTGGTTGTCCTCTGTAAAACTAAACGGAAACAACAAAGAAACTGAATAATATGATAATAATAACGATGAGAAAAACAACTGAATAATAACAATAATAATAACAACTGAATAATAATAAGAAACAAAAACTGAATAGTATAAATAATAATAATAATAAAATGTTTAAAAAGGAAAGCATGTAAACGCAATCTCGAATGATATCTTGAGGTCACAAGTTTATTTTAAAAAATCCGGAAAAATTATTTTGACAACAAATGAATGAATGAATGAATGAAGAAACAAATGAATAAACAAACTAACTAACGAACAAATGAATGAATGAATAAAATAAAAATTGAATGAACATTCTTTTTGTCAACCGCCCGATGCAACCGATGCAAGGAGCATTAAGTTTCAAAGGCGCGAGACATGAAGAAGAGCCATCCTATTGCATTATAACTTTACTTAGCCAGCGTAGGTGAACTGTTCAATTATTCAGGAATAAGAAAAACAAACAAGACTAATAATAATAAGTTAATATTGGTGATATTATTAAAAATATAGTCAGAATAATATCAAATCTGATTATTATAATTATTGTTGTTGTTGAATGAATAGTAACAATGAATGTATGAAGTACGAATGAAATTTTCCAATAAAAATATCAACATGTAAAAAAAACAACCTAAAGACACACACAGACGCACACACACAAACACAGACATACAAACACACACACACACACTCACATACATCATTTATTCGGCATCAATTGGAATAATGGAACCAAACAGTGCAACATATATGTGTATAAACAAATATTTATCTTTGAGTTCGTATTTTTTCCACCAGTATACTTTGCGAATGTATGTATGTATGCATCTGTGTATGCATGTGTGTATGTATGTGTGTGTATAGGAAAAAGTCCATACGTATTCGTATACAAGTTATGTATGTATGCATCTCTGCGAGTATGTTTGTTTGTCTGTGTGAATAAGTTTGTTTGTACGTGCATTCACTGGGATGTACGTGTGAATGAGTTTGTCTCTATTCAATACTACGAAAGTTTGTCAAGTTTATCGTCTTGCACTGTCTGGCATAAGAAATTTGAAGAAAAAAAAATTTACTAATGATCCAAAACGTCGTCTTAACATTTGAAACGGGTTCGAAATGAAACCATCCATCAATATCAACCTAGATAAACGCTAAATTTTAAAAAAAGGTACTGCTTAGTATTTTGTAGAACAATCACCGCAGTAATATCATTTATTACTACTTACTACTACACCGAGTAAGCAATGTCACACATTAGAGTCAAAGTATTGCCATTATCATCATCGTCGTCATTCTCATCGTTGTTATCACTATTATTATCACTATTATCATCACTGTTAAAATTTATTATTTCAATATTTATATAGCGCGAATTTTTTAATAATGATAACAATTTCAGAGTGCCTTCTTAAAGAGTACACACGGGCCATATAAAAATATATATATATATATATGTGTGTGTATATATTATGTAAATATGTGTGTGTGTGTACGTGTGTGTATTTTTGTATTTATAAGCAATTAAGATTAAATTTATGCGCGCAAATACAATAGCATGAAAAATTAAGTGTCTAAAATTACAACTGATATATTACTGGAAGAATATAACAGAATAATAAAAATAACGTAACAATATTATTTATTATTAGTATTATTGTCGTTATTATTATTATTAATATTATTAATATTATTATTATTATTACTGTGAAATATTTTTATATTTTTCTGACTTGATTACAAACTACTGAGTAAGAAGATATAATTATCATTATCTAAAATAAATCTCATATTTATTTACTATATACGTTACATTCAGGACAAAACAATCTACACTTTTTTTCAAAAAAAAAAGAATGAAATATAAAAAAAATTCGAAATGCAATGTACGCCTAAACTGAATGATATATTTATCACATGTAAATAGCTTACTACCATAATAATTATAATTAATGACAATTAATATTATTAATTATAGATTATTGGCGTCAAACATTAAAATTTATTGGTATTTAATCATGAAGGATTCGTGGAATACGGCAAACAGTCTCAGCAGCTCCTGCAACTCTTGCACGCTCGGCAGTATGGTCATCCTGTTTGAAAAATTCAAAATAATAATAATTAATAATAATAATAATATTATTACTATTATTATAACTAATAATAATAGTCAATAATAATAATAACAATAATAATAATGCAAGCATTTATATAGCGCCATACGCGTCGCTGGTTAAGAAGCGCCCGAAAATGTTTTAAAATTAAGCAAATGATTGGTTGGACTTTTATTACGAATGAGAGTCAGTCGGCGAGCGAGTTCGAACTCGGGTACCAGAAAGCGCCTTTAAACAGTCATTTCTTCATCCATCCCTGTCCAGTTAACCTGAAGTGATATGTGCCGGGCTTCTGACCAAATCCACTTCCAGGCACGACACAGATGCCTGTTGCCTCCAACAACTCCGTGCAATACATCGAGTCCGGTTCCATGTTCTTTTCCTGCGTATTGTTTTTGATATAATTTTATATTGTAATACACCCAAGCAAGGAAACATGCAGCTACTGACAAGCAAGACACCACACCTTAGCAGCTTCAATGGCTTTCGGAGGCAGCCAGATCCTGGGAAAAGCATACATGGCCCCCTCGACTTCATTGCACGTGATCCCTTCGATCTCGTTCAACAATCTGCTCGTCAGCTGTGCTTTCTCTTTCAGTTCTCCTAATACGTGATCCTTTTCCTGGAGGTGTTCGAGGAGGTTTTAGTGATTGGTGGATTGAGTGAGTGATTGGCTGATTGGTTGGGTGATTGGTTGGATGATTGGCTGATTGGTTGAGTGATTGGTGGATTGGCTGATTGGTTGAGTGATTGGCTCATTGGTTGGATGATTGGTGGATTGGTTGAGTGATTGATGAATTCGTTGATTGTCTGATGGATCTGCAAGAACATGTTTTAACAACAAACAAACAGATCAACCGAAATAAATTGTCTATAGGATGGCTCCCCGGGTCTCGGCGGGTTGACCACAACCCCCATGGCAGCCTGACCGGTTACGGAGGGACAGAGCTTGGCAGAGAGGGACTTGAGGAGGTGGTACTTGACCTCGGGATCGATGTTTATCAGTTCACAGTAGCCACCTCTGTATCCGCATCTGGCGGATGTTGTTGAGTGAAGGGTGTGAAGAAACAAACAAACAAACAAACAAACAAACAAACAAACAAACAAACAAACAAACAAACAAACAAACAAACAAACAAACAAACAAACAAACAAACAAACAAACAAACAAACAAACAAACAAACAAACAAACAAACAAACAAACAAACAAACAAACAAACAAACAAACAAACAAACAAACAAACAAACAAACAAACAAACAAACAAACAAACAAACAACAACAAACAAACAAACAAACAAACAAACAAACAAACAAACAAACAAACAAACAAACAAACAAACAAACAAACAAACAAACAAACAAACAAACAAACAAACAAACAAACAAACAAACAAACAAACAAACAAACAAACAAACAAACAAACAAACAAACAAACAAACAAACAAACAAACAAACACTCCTCGTATAAAATTAATGATTAGGCCATGCAAGCAGCCGACCAACTGAAGAAAGAATGACCAACTAACTCTCCCATGTACCCCTTCGAAGTGGACATGAACGAAGCCAGCTCCATTTTCTCGTACTCACCTCCCATCGACTTCATGACCTTCTTAAAGGAATGAAACTCAGAATCTTTGCCGTAGATATTGTGCTGGTAGACCTAACAGGCAAACAGCAAATGATGACGACAGGGATGTTAAGAAAGATGACGATGACGTAGAAACATCTGTACCACAACGAAAATGCATACAATAGACCCTATTCCACCACAAAACAGCACAGCAACAGACCTCATCGGCTAACAGAAAGATGTTATTCCTCTTAGCGAACTGAATGATCTTCTTGATGTTCTCCTCTTTAAGAACCTGTCCAGTTGGGTTTCCAGGGTTGATGACGACCAGAGCGCGCGGAATGCAGTGCGGTTTTGCCAGGTTCAATGCCCTTTCCAGTTCCTCCGTATCAAGGGACCAATTCTTTTCTTCGTTTAGGTAGTAGAGAATCTTTTTGGGAATGAATGGTTATCATCGGTTATGATTTTTTATGTATGTGTGTGTGTACGTCTGTGTGTGAATAATTAATTGTTTTATTTTGTTAGTTTAGATTGTGTCTAATGAATGAAGTAATTGAGTAAATTTTTGTTGACAAGTGTGTTCTTGCTACGATACGAGTATGTATTCTTTTAAAGAATGTTGATTTGTAGGTTGTAAAGAGCAGCGAAACAAGACAACGCCGACAACAAAGCGAACAATAGTTGAACAACGACAACAACGAACAACGAACAATAGTTGAACAACGACAAATACAACGAACGAAACAAAACCAGCAAACAACAAAAACAGAACAGAGAAACGAACAGGGTAGGTATTGAATTCAGCAAGCAGTGCGGTATAGAGGGGGTACACAGGTACCGGGAGCATGATACCCGCTATAGGGCTGTCCCTTCCCGTTACTAACAACTTCATCACCGCCTGTTTGAGTCGTTGTTATTATTATTATTATTATCATCATCGTATTTTCGTAATATTATGAACATCAATGTAAATAATGCAGTGTTAAAAACGTTTGGTCTGATATTGCTGTGACTAGCTTCAACTCAAAAAAATTTTCTCCTACTAGATACAAAAAAGCTTCACGGGTATCCATGCTTTTGTTGTCCATTGATACCCGAAGAAACAATGTAACAAAGTAATTAAACCATAGATCCGTTGATAATGTTAAATGATAGATAGGTGAAAATATCTTTTCGCGTTCGAACTCGATCACTTCAACATTCGGTCGGGCAGTTTACCACTACGCTACCTGTGTAAATTAGAAATAATTCCAACTAGAAATTAACCTTAATCCCTTCACTGGCTCCTGTGCTGAGGAAAATGTCATCAGGATTGCTGGGTATGCCTCCGTCTCTCTCGGATATGTACCTGGCCACGTCATGCCTCACAACGTCTATGCCTATGCTGTCACTGTAGGAGCCTGGAGATGACGATGATGTCATAATAAATATGACGTTGATGTTGATGGTGACGACGACGATGATGATGCTGATGGTGACGTCATGTGGAAGTGGTGATAATGTGATAACGTTGACTGTTGATGATGAAGTATCAAATGAAAAATCTAAATGAGATAAAATGATGATGATGACAAGAATGATGTAGATGACGATGCATGATGATGAAGAAGAAGACGATGATGGTGATATTAGCAAATAAACCTTACGACTTTAAATGTGCGAATATAAAAATTTTTTTTCTTCAAAAGTTCAAAATTCATAGATAGATAGGTAGACAGACAGACAGAAAGATATATAGATAAGTAGATAGATAGATGAGTGGATAAATAGATACATAGATAGATAGAAACATAAATAGATAGATAAATACACAGATAGACAAATAGATACGCTGTAAAAACCCTGAGATTAATAAAAATATTGCTATTAAATTACTTGAGGACTTATTGCTGCCAAGTAAATTTTTACTCTTCCAAACGTGAAGCAAAGGTGAATGTTAGTTAAAAACTTATTTTTAGAAGTATTATTGCAGTATTGAGAGTTAACTTTTATAGACTTATATTAATTAAAAGTATTCTTTCAAATTTAAAATATGTCAAATATCTGAGCATTCATTTAATCAAACTGTTAACATGTAAATTATAAATTAGTTGAGGCGTTGAATGTATATAAATGAACTCTCTCTCTCTCTCTCTCCTCTCTCTCTCTCTCTCTCTCTTTCTCGTCTCTACCTCCTCTTTCTCGTCTCTACCTCTACTACAATTCTTCAATTTTTTTCTTTTTTCACTTTATATCTTATCCCATACATTTTATCACTTTTCTTACATTTGCACTATTCTCTCTCTCTCTCTCATTTTCTCATTCTCTCTCTCTCTCACTTTCACTTACTTTCCCCATCAATCTCTCTCTAACCGATGCTGTGTCCTCTGCAGTCATCCAGTATTCTCCTTGCTCTTTGTTTGGCATCGTCATTGAAGTGCGGATTGTCCATCAGGTCTGGATAGGTGCACAGAGCTACCACCTGTCAATCAGACAATCAGACAGTCAGTCAGTTAGAGCCAGCCAGTCAGTCGATCAATCTGTTAGTCAGAGTTTATCAGTCAGTGAGTTAATTAATCAATCAATCAATCAACAAATCAACTAACTAACCAAACAACAACTAATCGACCATCCATCCAACAGTCAACAAAACAGACCTGCCTGATGAATGTTAAAGGTTTCTGACCGCAGGCATGGCAATCACCTATGTTCGCTCTGATCACTTGTTTGAATGGTTTCGGCACACCCTGGCCGAAAAATTATAATGATGATGAAAATGGTTGATGATGGTGAAGAAAATGATAATGGTGGTAATGAAAATGATGATGGCGACGAAGACGACGATGATGACAACGATGATTTAAAAAATTATGAAGAAAACAATCATGAATATAGTGATAATTTCATAATCACCACAAAAATATCATCACAATCACAGACATCATTAGCATCATCATCTCCATCATAATCATTATCACCAACATCATCATCATCATTATCAGAACCTTCTTAAGTTCATTTTCAATCTCAGCAGCCCGGATGACGATGGGTCCTCTGACGGCATACTCGATGTTGGCAATGTGGGGATTCAGGGTTGCCATCGTTAGGACCTTGTCGTTGATCTGCGTGCGTGTGAGCGTGTGCGTACAAGTGTGTACGTGTTTGTGTGTGCATGCGTGTGTATTTATGTGTGTGAGTTCGTATGTGTGTGTCTGTGTATGTGTATGCTGGTGTGGTTACGATGATGACGACAACGACGTCTATGACGACAGATATGAATGACGATGATGATGAAGATGACGAAGATTTGGTTGAAAAAAAACCAATGCAATGACAGCAGTAATAATGATGATCGGATGGTTAAAATAACGACGGTGATGAAGATGATGATAGAGGATGACGACAACAATGATAATGACGAAGACGACGATGATGACGTAGGTAATGACGTTGATGATGATGACGACGACAACAAAAATGACGTCACAAAAGGGGGCCCAACGAACCCTGTAGGTGCTCTGGCTGGATAGTTGCTCGCTTGTACTGGACATGTTGACATTTGAGAATGAATGAATGAAGCGAGATGGAGGAATGATATGACTCTTCAATATATCCGCGTTATCAAATAATCTCGTCTTAGTAAATGTGTTCTTCTTATTATTGTTATTGTTATTATTATTGTTGTTGTTATTACTATTATTAACACTATTGACCGATTTCGACGGATGACTGTAGTCCAAAGCACCAGAAAAAAATCTGACTTGCTGTTGTTGTTGCTGCTGCTGATATGTCTCGGCGATGCTTTGGTTATTAATAATATTATTACTGGCGATATTATTATTATTATTAATATTGTAATTATTATTATTAATGTTATTATTATTATGACGTAATTGATGACGAAAGCCGATGTTGATGTTATAGACGTTGTTCAATGGACGTTCACTCCTTCCCCCACACCTCAATCCAATTAAGGATCCTTTAAGAATATTCATTCATTCATTCATTCATTCATTCATTCATTCATCCATTCATTCATCCATTCATTCATTCATTCATCCATTCCTACATCCATCCATCCATCCAAAACGAAACAAAACGAGTGAAAACATCAACAACCAGTACCACAAAAATGTTAACTTCACTTGTTTGTGGAGTAATAACAAGGCATTTATCAATACAGTCCATAATTGAAGACATCAGGCATAGCACCAATTAAGAGTGCAACAAGTGCTTATAGTTTCTATTTCAGAGAAATTCGCATCACATCGCACACGGATCTGCAAACACACACACACACACACACGCACACACACACACACGCACACACACACACACGCACACACACATATACACACACGCGCACGCACAATTAGATTAGAACACTCATGTGATTGTATGATTAGCAAAACAGGGGCGTTTGTCAGCTGAACAACTTAACATCTGATGAACATTTTATTTATAATCATCTTGTCAGTCATTCACTTCACTATATCTCAGTGCATCCGCTACTAACAATCTAACTACTAGCAGTCTTACTAGTGTTATCTGTCTTCTTGTTTAACTTACTCTCTAATGTGAAACATAAAAATTAAGTCATGTGACCATGTTGCGGCTGTATACATGCACACACGCAGAAAACATATTTACAACACATATATACATAGGCACACATACTGTCTGTCATACACATACACAGTACACACATACACTTTATTCTCACACACAAATATCTCCAACACGTTAATCAATAAATATTAGTTGTATAAATCGTGCACTTGAAGAAAATATTCAACAATATTTATACTTTAGAGACACACACACGTACACACACACACACACACACACACAAACAGACACACACATACATATACACATGTATCTATACATATTATCATCAACCCCACCGTTGTAATCATGGACATCAGCAATATCATTATCTACAGCCAAATAATCTGCTGCAATTTTCCTCTTAAATGGTAAACAAAAACATCATCAACCGACCATTATTTCCATACACGCACGCACGCACACACACGTACAACACACGCAACACGTACAACACACACGCACGCACACACACACAAACACACACACACGTACAACACACGCAACACACATTCAAAAATTTAAAAAGCATATCAACTCAAATGGTTGTCTCAGAGAAAAATGTCAAAAATGTAATTGCTACCCATGTGACGAATGAGATAAAATGAATAATGCTAACTAATCTTCTTCACACATTTCAATGATCCTGCTTTCAAACAAGGTAAAAAACTTTTTAGATAGATAGATAAATTAGAAATCACTGCCATTACTTTACTAGTACTACTATCTATATAACGATAACTACTACTGCTGCTAAGACTATTCAATCTACAACTGCTACTACTACTGCTGCTGCTACTAACACTACTGCTTCTACTACTGCTGCTGCTGCTACTACTACTACTACTGCTACTGCCGCTTCTAATAACATTAAATGTATATGTATTTAACGTAACGAATAATAAACAATCGTTATTTCAGATATTTAAAGCAGGAAATACAGTAAAACCACAGACCTACATTCATTCATCCGTTTATTCACTTTCACTCATTCGCTTACTCACTCACTCACTCACTCACTCACTCACTCACTCACTCACTCGATCAATCACTCACTCACTCTCACTCACTCACACATTCATTCATTCATCCATTCATTCATTCATCTAACCATTCATCCATCCATTACATTCATTTATTTACTAACTCTCTTCATCCAGGAATAGAGCTCTGTAAACAAAAGCAGAGGCATTCATCTCATCATTATCATAACCATCACCACCACCATCATAATCATCATCATAACCACCAATAGCATCATCATCATCATCATCAGTATCATCACACTTCCTTGACACTGAAGCAGAGCTTTGTTTACATAGAAACAAAACAAAAAAAATGTAAACAAAAACGGAAACATAAACAAGAAATAAAAAACAATATCCCTGATAGGAAAAAAATTTCAGAGAATTGACGACGGCCTAAATTTACTCATTCATTCATTCATTCATTCATTCATTCATTCATTCATTCATTCATTCGTTCATTTGTTTGTTCGTTCATTCAATCATTTACAGAACCATTCATTGATTTAAATAATTCAATCAAGTCATTAATTAATTAATTCACTCATTTATTAACCAACTAGCCTTAATTAAACCAAATTTTATAATATATTGATGCATTAATTCGTCATTCACTTATACAATTAATTCATCGTCAATCCACACAAAAAATTAACTGTTCACTTTAAAACAGATATCAATCACCCAGAAATGACATTCGAAACTTTCAGTAACATCTACAACAATATCAAAAGCAAGCAACATAGACGAACACACACACACACACACACACACACACACACACACACACACACACACACACACACACACACACACACACACACACACACGCATACACGCACGCACGCACAAGGTAATAAAAATAACATGAATAATAATATTAATAACAATAATAATATTAAGAAGAAGAAATGGCCTTGACCAGACCTAATAATATTCCTCACAATCATCATCATCACCATCATCATCATCTTCCTCATCATCATCATCATCTTCGTCCTTTTAGTCACAATAATTACTTTCAACGTTAATCACAATAAAAATACTCCCACAAGATAATATTGACTGCAGGTTAGCAAGTACTAACTAGTTATTATTGTACTAATCATAATCACCATTATCATCATCATCATCATCATCATTAACAACGTCTACATCATCATCATCAGCATCATTATCACCATTCTTCTTACCATCATCATCATCGTTATCATTAGCAACTTTACTGTTGATCACTTTTTGGGTAAAAATTTTTTTTTATTCACAATGCTGTCCTGTTCATTTTAAATTATGCGTTTGTGTGTGCATGTGTGTGTATTTATGTGTGTGAGTGCGTATGTGTGTGTGCAGTGGCGAATTTAAGCATAGGCGCGCGCCTAGGGCCCCCAGATTTTAGGGGCCCCCAAAACTTGAAAAATGAGTTTTTTGGAGGCTTCAAAATATTTCGCACAAAAAAATTTAATAAGTTTGAGAAAAATTAATTTTACATTTTCAGATAATATATTTCATAATTATTTCTAAATATTTTTGAACAACGTATGAAAAAAATATACAAACAACAATTTATGCGTTGCCAAAAATGCGTGCGCGAATTTTCGCTCAACCCTAGATTAAAAAAGTAAACAAACTTTTGAATTGTGGTAAAATTCGAACACTATTGGCGCATCTTACGTCACAGATTTCAATTAAAAATTTCAATTCAAATTTTAATTTTTTGCAATAACTAATTATTAATTGCCAGTTTATTACACTATTTTAATAATTTCACTGTGTGGATGAATGATCATTTTTCCTTATTGCTTATTGCATTGCTTATTAACGAGGATCTGAAAGACTGTAAATATCAAGATGAAGTGAGCCGCAAGAAAAAGCGAAAACCGTTTTCTGACGAAAGCAATGAAGCGGAAGTTATTTTAACTGGTCGTGATAATTTTATTGTTAACACAGTAAACGCCATTTCTGATAAATTGATCACGGAACTTGATCACAGAATCGAAGCAAACAAAGGTATACATGATTTGTTCAGTCTATTTTTCAAGGACAAGGTAGATGACATGAACACAAAGATCTCGGTCTTGATCGAAGAATACAAAGACGATGTTAATTCTGATACCGCTGGCGATGAAATCAAACAGTTTTTGCACTTCGCTAAGGAAGAAGGCGCAAAATCTGCGGTAGAGATGTACCAGCTTATAGTGGTGGGTGGACTACAATGTACATTTCCCAATGTGGAAACCCTTCTAAGAATCTTTCTCACCATTCCTATATCAAACGCAACTGGAGAACGGTCATTTTCTGTGTTGAAAAGGATCAAGAATTACTTGCGGAATTAAATCAGCCAATGTAAGCTGGGAGATTTGTCTATTTTATGCATTGAATCAAAGGAGACATTAGAATACGATTTCAATGCGCACAGTGACTCCTTCGCGAAATTGAAGAGCAGGAAAAAAGTTATATAACTGTAATAGACTGACAATTGTAATTTCTAACTAGTATCTATAGCTGTAGTATCTATGCATGTTAATACATGGGTATGAGTGTTCTAACTATTGTTGTATTATGATCATTGATCGCCTTATAGGCGAGAGGGCCCCAAATTGGTCGTGCGCCTAGAGCCACAGTTTTTGTAAATACGCCTCTGTGTGTGTGTCTGTGTATGTGTATGCTGCAGCTATTAAATGTTCAAGAATAAATCAAACACTCAACCGTTTAAAAAATACTAACATTTCGATACTAACATTAGTAGCAATACTAACATTAGTAGCAATACCACAACTAGTATGTAACTGATTGTTAAAACAAGCACACACTCACACACACACTCAAACACACACATACACACAAAAGCAGGCATACAGACACATGCGAGCATTAACATGAGCATACACGATATAAAGTAAAATATTTAATATTTTAATGAATAAATTTGAAAAATATATATATCTATTTAACTTTTAATATAATAACCAACCATAATTAGTGAGAAACAAAGAAAAAGATTGATCCTTCTTGAAGTTTTATTAAATAAATGTTTAATTATTGATAAGAAACTTAAAATTAGAAAAATTAAATAAATTTATTAAACTATAAATAAATAAATAATTAAATACATAGATAAAGATAATTTATATATATATATATATATATACATATATATATTGGATTACTATACATATATGTATGTATATATGAATGTGTGTAGTGTGTGTGTGTGTGTGTGTGTGTGCGCGCGCGCGCGCGTGTGTGTGTGTACTACCTCTATACTACATAATACAACAATAATTACAACACAACAAAGTTTACAACATACAAATTATAAAATTATATACATATTACATATATAAAA